CTCTTTTTTTTTTTTTTTTTTTTTGAGTCAGAGTCACACTCTGTCACCCAGATTGGAGTGCAATGGCACTCTTGTGGCCACTGTAGTCTCGACCTGCTGGGCTCCAGCAATCCTTCCACCTCAGCTTCCCAAGTAGCTGGAACCACAGGCATGTGCCACTACAGCCAGCTAATTTTTTGATTTATTGTAAAGATAGATGAGGTCTTGTCAAGTTGCCCAGGCTGATCTTGAACCCCTGCCTCCCCCTCCCAAAGCACTAGGATTACAGGTGTGAGCTACCACGCCCAGCTGAGATGCTGTCTCTTAAAAGAAAGAAACTCACACACATTTGCCTTTGGATAGTTTCAGTTCTGGTCAGGTCCAGGCCCCCCGTAATCAGGTTCTGGGTCCCAGACTATTTCTGTCTCGTATCCGTCTGCACTGGATATTGACACCCAGGTTCTTTTTTTTTTTTTTAATCAGTGTGACACCCTGTCACCCAGGCTGGAGTACGGTGGCATGCTTACAGCTCATCGCAGCCTTGACCTCCAGGGCTCAGGTGACCTCCACCTCAGCCTCCCGAGTAGCTGGGACTACAGGCACACGCCATCACACTCGGCTAATTTTTTGATTTATTGTATAGACTAGGTCTCACTATTTTGCCCAGGCTGGTTTTAAATTCCTGGGTTCAAGCGATCCTCCTGCCTCAGCTTCCCAAAGTGCTAGGACGACAGATATGAGCCACTGTGCTTGGCTATCACCAGTGTTCTTATTCACAGTTTTGCTTATTAATTTGCTCAAAGTACGATCATTCTCCATTGAGTCCTATGGAGACATTTTTCCTCCTCCAGAACAGAATATGAATATAAATATGCCTGGAGCGAATGACCTTTCAGTCTGAGAACGGTCTCTTGGGCGCATGGGGCCTTGGTGCCTGCTCTCCGGTCTGAGTACACTGGGTCCTTATCTGAGGTCTTTAACCTGGATTCTCCGACATGTCCCGCCCTCCACCTTTCTGCCAGATTGTAGCAGAGGAAGGAGCGTTTTAAGCACCACTAATTTTAAGCACCGTGACTTTCTGAGGGAGAGCCATACTGGAAACCTGATCTTCCACCCAAGCTTCCAGAACCATGGAGTCCCCTCTGTCATCCCTCAACTTGCCGGCACTCAGGAGTGTTTCTCTTTAAACTGTTTATCTCCACAATTTCATGAGGCCTTTGCAAGCAGTAGGGAAATACTGGCTGGTGTAGACTTCATCACTTTTCAAGCTGATTTATCGCAGTGTTCTCAGTCTTCATGGCAAATCTGTGGCTTAGGATAACCATTTCTCCTCGACGGGTGGAAACTGCAGAGAATCCTCACCTGAATTAGAAACAGTTTTGTTTTGTTTGTTGCGCCGAGATCTCACTCTGCCACCAAGGCTGGAGTGCAGTGGTACAATCACGGCCACCGTAGCCTCAACCTCCTAGACTCCTGAGGCCATCCTTCCACCTCAGCCTCCTGGATAGTTGGGACTACAGGCATGTGCCACCACACCCGGTTAATTTTTTTATTCTTTATTTTTGTAGGAATGAGGTCTTGCTCTGTTGCTCAGGTGGTCTCAAATCCCTGGGCTCAAGCGATCCTCCCGCCTTGGCCTCCCAAAGTGCTGGGATTATAAGCACGAGCCACCGTGGTCAATTTTTTAGACTTCCATTTCATATATTCTGAATTGTTTACATTGAAGGTTCGTTAAGACACAGGGAGATCATGCCAGCGTTTACTACAGGGCATTCTGTGGAGCATAAGGTGCACCAGATACTTGGTTAAATGTATGTTTAATTTTACCCCCAAATCCCTTTTTCCATAAAGCAGCTCACAGAACTTCCTCCATGGTACCCACGTTGGGAAATAACGAACCACAGTCTTCCCACCCGTACTCCTGTTTGTTCTGGAAGCATAGTATGTTGCCCTTTCAAACAGACAGAAGGAAGTAGCAGGGACTCTTACAGGGCCAGAGGAGCCCGTCTAGAGTGGAGGCAGCTTGACTCAGCTTTTCCTTCCCCGTTTCCTCCTCACTTGGGAACTCTTCTTCATCCTTCCAAACCCAGCTCAAATGTCCCCACTTCTGAGACACTTCCTCAGCTTCCCAAATTAGTCATTTCCTTCATCAAGTGTCTACAACAATTCCTAGACGTGGTGTTGCATCTTAGCTGGGAGGTGGTGGAAGTTCACACCGGCTGAACGTTGTGTGTGGTCACTGTTTTTTAAGGCCACAGCTTGAGTTTCACTGTGGAGACCCGTATACTTTGTTCCTTTACGTTGGCACAGTCTCCTCTCCTCTTCACATGGAGACAGATCATGTCCCATCTCTTAAATCTGAGATGAGGAAGCTGGCACGTGTCTGGCCATGCTGTAGGAACAAGACTTACTCTGAATCACTGTGAAATCAGCTGCGTGGATGGGCGATGCTCATCCCCTCCTATCGGTCACTCTGGGGCGCAGGCTGGCAGAGTGGAAAGGGGTGGAAGATTCCAGAGCACAGGACAGAGAAGGGCCTCCTGGTCTGCGGGTTCCACATTGTGGATTCGACCCAGTGTGGCGCGAAAACATTTGAAAAAGTCAAAACAATAAAAAACAACAATACAACTATAACAAAGAACACAGAAAACATATAGTGCCACAACTCTTTGCATAATAGCATTTGCATCGTCTAAGCTATCATAAGTCAGCAAGAGAGAATTGAAAGTACACAGGGTGGGAGCTGTACATGGGTTGTATGCAAATTCGCCTTTTTCTTTCTTTTTTCTTTTTTTTTTTTTGAGTTGGAGTCTCATTCTCTCACCCAGGTTGGAGTGCAGTGTCACACTCACGACCACCACAGCCTCAACCTGCTGGGCTCAGGCGATCCTTCCGCCTCAGCCTTCCAAGTAGCTGGAACTCCAGGCACATGCCATCATGCCCGGCTGATTTTTCTTGATTCATTGTGATGAGGTCTCGCCAAGTTGCCCAGGCTGGTCTCGAACCCCTGCGCTCAGGCAATCCTCTCGCCTCCGCCTCCCAGACTGCTGGGATTACAGATGTGAGCCCCCACACCTGGCTTCACCCTTTTCTGTAAGGGATTTGAGCATCTGTGGATTGTCTCCAGGGGCTCTGGAACCTGTCTACTACAGATACCAAGGGACAACTGTGTGCGGGCTTTCCCTCGACTTTCTGCATCTCTCACGTTGACCAAAGTCACGTGGTTGAGCTTGAGAGTGGGACTGCCCCCTTTCCTGGCTCCCATCCTCTTTCCCTGCAGTAACTGTTACTTGCCCATCCCCTGCCTCCCTGCCCTGGGATCGGCAGCCTTTGCTTTGGCATCTTTGTGCTTCCAGCCCCTGGGAGCTAGCTGCCTGTCTAGTGAATGGATGATAGGTACAAACTCGTGTTCCAGAAGGATTCTTAGCCAGGTGTGGCAGCTCACGCCTGTAATCCCAGCACTTTGGGAGGCAGAGGTGGGAGGACTGCCTGAGCCCAAGAGTTTGAGAGCAGCCTGGGCAACATAACGAGGCTCCCATCTTGATGAAAAATAGAAAAATTAGCCAAGCGTGGTGGCACACACCTGTAGTCCCAGCTGCTCAGGAGGCTGAGGCAGGAGGATCATTTGGGCCCAGGAGTGGAAGGCTGCGGTAAGCCGTGATGGCACCACCGCACTCCAGCCTGGTTGACAGAGTGAGACCCCTCGACTCAAGTAGTAAATAAGTAAAAACAAAAATAAGCCGGATTCTTGCCATCTCTCCCCCCGCAGGGCCGCCCAATCACTCCAGTGTACACGGTGGCCCCGAATGTTCAGAGAATCCCCGCGACCGGGATCTACGGTGCCAGTTACGTGCCATTCGCTGCTCCGGCCACTGCCACCATCGCCACACTACAGAAGAACGTGTATGGGGGCTACGCCGGCTACATACCTCAGGCCTTCCCCGCTGCCACAATCCACGTCCCCGTCCCCGACATCTACCAGACGTACTGAGGCTGCGACCCACCCGCGCGGCGACACCGAAGGGACGCTGTGCTATTTATGAAGAAAGCCCGTGCTGGGCCGGTACGCAGCCACAGCCCGGACGTGAAGAATGTTATCCGAGCTCACCCGGAAATATTTTGTACCCATGAAGTTTCCACTCATTTTTTAAAGACTGTTTTCAACTGAACATCCATTTCTAAGACACTCGCGATGGTTCGTGCCTTAACAACACCTTTGAAAACTTTGTATGGAGTACTACATTTGTATAGAGGTTTTGTTGTTGTTGTTTTTTAAGGATATATTTTCAGTATGAAGGTTATTTTCTTAACTTCTGCACTCCAGAGATTTCTATGTTGTAGAATATCCTCAATAATATATCAACTATATATTAAAAAAAAAAGCACACTTGAGCAGCTAGGGAACTATTTTGAAAAGATATATTCAATATTTAAAGATACAAACGAGAGTGCTTTAAAATACTACATAAAACATTATTTTAAAGGTTATACTGGAAAGTGCAATTTTAAAAATGAGGAAAACCTCTGCATTTCTGCTGGCATTAAGGGCTGGTGGTGTTTCCGTGTGTTCTCCATAGCGGTTCTCTCTCTTTTTTTTTTTTTTTAAAGAAATGAAACACTCAGTCTCTCCTTAAGCCAGCATCACAAGACTCATCAGACTTCCGAGTCCGAACACTGGAAAGCTGTCACCTGCCACCAGGCCCCGGTCTCGCTGTCCCTGGCCCTTTCCTGTAAACACACCCCCACTCCTTCCCCCCAATCCCCCATCTATCCTCTATGCCTGGTGAGCCTGGGACACCCAGATAACTCTGGTTGGGAGAGCAGCCGGTGGCTTTTCAACTTCTTCCTGGGTTTTTGCTAGGGATTTTTGTGGTGGTTTCTGTTTGTTTGGGTCAGGGAGGTGTTATCTTCTGTGTGTGCTGTTTTCCAGAGCACAGATTTTTTCATAGGTTTGCATAAGACATCTTGGCATAGCTATTTAATTGCCCAATATAAAACTTTCATTCCCTTTTAGCGCTTTTATTTTATTCGTGTTTTTTTTTTGAAGTATGTGTTTGTAGGGACAAAGAATGTATGTTGTTGTGGACAAGACCCTCAAAGGCTCTTGTCGGCAGAAAACTCTGCTTCTCGGTTGCCTTCTCGTGTTTCATGCCCAGTGTCCGTGGTCCTCAAGGGTGTGGGGAACATTCCCTTACGGAAGGGGCCTTTCTCCCTGCTGTGCACTCCCGGGTGAACTACGATGGGGTGTGCACTTCAGGAGAGGGGGAGAGACCCCCAGCAGTTAAAAGACGATTGTAAATATCTCCTTGTGCTTGTTTTTAGTCACAGACGTTCATGGCATATAGTTGAATGCAAAATGCGACCACTTTATTTCAAAGTTCTGAAAGAGATTGGTTTTTATTAGGAAGTTTGTGGATTGCTGCAGTGTTTCGTGTGTGGGGAAAGTCTTCTTATAGCAAAGTGAATGTAAAATACAGTAACATGTTAAGATCGCCATCCACTTTATGAAATCTATCAACTTGGAATCATTTTCAAAGGCTCCATCCAGGAAGTGAGGTGTGCAATAAGAAAGTATGCAGCTAGCAGGGCGCAATGGCTCACGCCTGTCATCCCAGCACTTCGGGCGGCTGAGATGAGAGGATCGCCCAAGTGCATGGGTTCGAGACCAGCCTGGGCAACATGGCGAGACCTCGTCTCTACAGTAAATCAAAAAATTAGCTGGGCGTGGTGGCGCACGTCTGTATTTCCAGCTACTTGGAAGGCTGAAGTGGAAGGATCGCCTGAGCCCGGCAGGTCGAGGCTGCAGTGGCCATGCGTATGCCATTGCACTCCAGCCTGGGCTACAGAGTGAGACTCCAACTCGAAGAAAAAAAAGGAAGTACACAGCTGCGTGTGATGCCATGTTGGATTTTTGGTGATGGCTGAATCCTTCTTTGTGGATTCTTAATAGGATCCTGCCCTCAGCAAATACTTCTGTTTTAAAGTAAGAGATTCCCAAATGCCTTTCCCCCACTCATCTTGGGATGAGTTTTTATGTATTATCAATATTTATTTAACTGTTCTATAAAATGATTGAGCGCCTGCGGAGGCCTGTAGACATTCCCAACATTCCTTGCCATCGTCCTTAAATGACATACATTGTACAATGCCCCTGCTGATGCACCGGCAAGCCACCTCTCGGCTGAGTCTGCCGGAGTGAGCGGTTCAATGAAATGTCATTTGGGTCAGCGCCTCATCTCTTGACCATGTGAAATCCTTCCAGGGAAGGATTGTCACAGGGGCTCAGTGGATGAAACTTTGACCCTGTGTTCTACTGTATTTTACATGTGCCTGAAAATTATTTGCCCCCCCAAAAAATGGAAGAAAGAAAAACCAGTATCTTAACATGGCAACTCACAAACCAAACTCCCTCAAAAGCGAATATGGGTCACATAGTTAAATAATCATGAGCCTCCCGTCTATGGACTTGTCTGTTCCTGCTGTTTCAAAACCATTTCACGTACACTACTGAGGTAAGTTTATAACTTGAAATGTGAACTTTTTTTAGGGTTAAGAACAAACTTTATAAATGTTTTAAAAAAGAGTTTTAGTTCTATTTTCAAACATGCTAGTAGTTTTAGTTACCTTTAGCTGCGTTGTATTTGAGAAGCTTTTATTCAGATCTTGCTTCATTTACAATACATTCTAAGGATGTATGTAGTAAATAAAGCTTTCGTTAACGCAATTTCCAGACCTCACTTTAAATGGTGTTTTCTTTAGACTGAATTTTTTCTAACCAAGTTATCAAAACTCTTACAGCATAGAGGGCTCGACTAAGTCAGCGTTTGCAGTTGGTGAAATCGGCAGTCATGGTCATGGGTGTGTTGTGGAATTGCCCTTGGAGACGGCTCACGTAGGTGAATCGTGAATTGCCGGTGGCCTCAGACTCGAGTCCAGGTGGTGGCGGGAGGTTGAACACTGGAATCCTACTTGGCGTCGGGACTGGACAGGGAGGTGGCAGGCCCGTCCCGACTGTCAGGGCTGGAGTTGATGAGCACAAGACTGTATGTACGCCCAGCACTCCGAGGGGAGACAGTTGATGTGACATTCCGCTTTGCGGCAGTCTCATGAAAGGGTCGCGGTGACCTGGATGTCGGTTCCTGCATTCAAGACCAAAACCTTGTTTCTCCTTTCCAGACTGCCCAGCAAGGGGGACAGAACACCCCTCTTTTCTCCAGGCTCATTGCTGACTAGGTGTCTCTCGGCAGAACCAGCCAGGGATGGGAGAGAAGGCGGTGCTTGTCGCTTCTAAACCATATTCCGCTCAGCTTTGCCAGTGATTCACCATTTGACCTTCTTAACGTTGAGCCTGGTCTGTGGCCTCCCAACCTGCGATTCTTGGAATTCTAAGTTCCTGCTTCCTCTTCAATGGATGAAGGCCTTTGTTGAGGCAGACAGGCCAGGAAACTTCCCAAGAAGACAGACCATCAGGCAGAGTTTGTAAGGGCAGCAGGACCTGCTGATTCCTTCCTGTACTAGAAAAAAAACACAGATGCCCTTCAAGCTGCAGAATCCCACTCAGTGTTGGAGTGATTGCGTTAGCAAAGGAATTAAGCAGAAGGAGGGAGTCCATGAGTCCCCAAGTGGGGACAGAGGCTTTGATGAGGGGATTCATTTGGCTCTTTGTCCGCTATGGCTTTGGGGGGACCTCACACCCACTCAGCAAAGTGGGCAGAGCAGCTGTGGGACTGGCCAAGTCTCACAGCCTGTGAGAACCAGAACTCAAGTCTACGCTCAGACTCTGAGACGATCCTCCTGCCTCAGCCTCTCGTGTAGCTGGGACTCCAGGCATGTACCATCATGTCCTGCTAATTTTTTAATTTTTTGTAGTGTTCCCCAGGCTGATATTAAACTCCTGGGCTCAAACAATACTCCATTGGCCTACCAAAGTGCTGGGATTACAGTTGTGAGCCACTGGGCTCATCCTGTTTTGGTTTTCTTTTTTTGTTGTTTTTTTCATGTCATGCTGAGTGTGACATTTTGGCATGGCTGTTTTAATAAAATGACATTTTGACACCATGACTCTAAAACAAAATACATTTTCAGCTTTTAAAAAATTACTGAACCGGGCTCGGTGGCTCAGCCTGTAATCCCGCGCCTTTGGGAGGCTGAGGTGAGTGGATTGTCTGAGCCCGCGGGTTTGAGACCTGCCTGGGCAGTGAGACCTCATCTCTACAATAAATCAAAAAATCAGCCGGGCGTGGTAGTGCATGCCTGTAATTCCGGCTACTCGGAAGGCTGAGGCGGAAGGATTGCCGGAGCCCAGCAGGTCGAGGCTGCGGTGGCCGGGAGCAGCCACTGCACTCCAGTCTGGGCGACAGAGTGAGACTCCAACTCAAAAAAAAAAAAAAAAAATTACTGGGAGCCAGGTGCAGTGGTGACTCATACCTGACATCAGCACTTGGGAGGCAGAGACCAGCCTGGGCAACTTGGTGAGACCTTGTCTCTACAATAAATCAGAAAATTACCTGGCTCACTCCTGCGGTTCCAGCTACTTGGAAGACTGAGGTGGAAGGATTGCTTGAGCCCAGCAGTTTGAGGCTGCGGTGGCCGTGAGCATGCCACTGCACTCCAGCCTGGGCGACAGAGTAGGACTCTTAACTTAAAAAAAAAAAAAAAAAAATTATTAAGTTGATATTATTCAACCTCTTCCTCGGCAGTCCCCATTTCTGAACCTCTTAAGTTCAAAGGTAAGTTTAAGTTTAAAACAGAAAGAGGCTGAGTGTGGTGACTCATACCTATGAACCCAGCACTTGGGGAGGCCAAGGTCAGAGGATCGCCTGAGGCCACGGGTTTGAGACCAGCCTGGACAACTTGGCAAGACATCCTGTCTACAGTAAATCAAAAAATTAGCTGGGCGTGGTGGCACATGCCTGTAGTTCCTGTTACTTGGAAGGCTGAAGTGGAACGATCACCTGAGCCCAGCAGGTTAAGACTGAGGTGGCCATGAGC